CTCTCTCTCTCTCTCTCTCTCTCTCTCTCTCCCCCCCCCTCTCCTTTACTTTCTCTTCTTCCTCATTTCTTCATTCTTCTCTCCCCTTCTTTTCTTCTCTTCATTTCTTTTCTTTCTTCCCCCTTTCTCTTCTCTCCTTTTTCCCTCTGCTCATCTCACCTCTTCTCCTCTCTTCCCTTCTCTTCTTCCCTTTTTTCCTGTCTCTCCTCCCTTCTTCTCCTTCTTCTCTTCCTCCTCTCCTCCAATTCCTCCTCCTCCTCGTTTTCTCTCTCACACAACACGTAATAATAACAATAATAATAATAAATAGAATGTGGTGTTCATTAAAGACACGCAGGGTTTAGCAGCAAACTACAATGAGACTTAAAACATTCTAGTTAACAATCAAACACTGTCTGAAAGCTACAAGCGCCCAAATACTGCTTTTATACCCAGGTTTCCTCCTTCTTCTTTGGCTTAGTTGCTGCACTTTTCTAAAACAGTGCCCATCTCCTACATAGGGAACCTTAAGGGGAAGGAAGTATTCCCGTGCCAACCTTCCAAACTCCCCCCCCCCCAAAAAAATTCCCGAGAGAGAGAGAGAGCACGCCGATTTCTACCCCTCCGTGCAGGTGAAGCCAGACCCCAGAGCAGAGACCCTGGGAGAGTGAGGATTCAGGAAGGCTGCAGCCGAAGCTGGGTCCGCGGAGCAGAGCGTGTCCGATTGGAAACCACCTCCCTTTGATCTAAATCGATTTTAAACAGCCGGGCAGGCACAGGAGCCGGGCGTCAGGGCTGCGGCGCAGTGGGTCCGGCACGTCTAATAATTTAGCTAATCGAGTCGAAAAGTTTCTGTAAGGGGCTGGTCCGCGCATCAGATGGTAACACTGATTGAACAAGAGATTAGCACAATAGATCTCTAATCGAGGGGAAGCGTTGCTTTTCACGCTAAGGACCGTAATTAATGGTATGAATCAATTAATTTGACTTTTATTGTGTCGAAGAAAAAAGCGCAACAAATGAAAACCCCAGCTAGGAGTTGATCATTCTCCCTCCCCCTCCGCCCCCCTTTTCCCCGGGAGATTTCAGAGAGACACTGGAGAAGCGAACGGGATCATCTCTCCCCAGTGGAAAAGACAGAGAGCGAGAGAGCGAGGAGAGGATGGAGGTGGAAAAGAAGCAGGGAGGGGGTCCTCCCGGGGAGCGGGCGCTGTCCTCTCCGCGCCCCCCAAATCCACCGCCCTGTTGGCAGTCCAGATGACCAAATAGAAATTAGAATCGTTTGGAAGGAGCTCCGGGAAGACACAAGACAGCGATCGATCGATAAAGCGCGCTCACCCACGCGCCCCGCACCTGCACGTACCGCCCTGGTGGTGGCCTGGACCCTGGGCGAGAGGGCCAGGCAGCTAGGAGCCGGGTCTGGGGCCCGGTCCGCATCGCGCTCCGTTTGGCGCTTTGCAAACGTTTAGATTTGTTTGTGGGGGAGCGGGAGGGTTATTGAGGGAAGTGAAGGGAGAAGATTCTCGAATAGCTCTCCGGGCTACCGCCCCGCAATTCTCCTCGGTGCTGGTGCGGGTCAGGGTACGCCCTAGACGCTCTTCTCCCCTCGAAGCTGGACATTCTCTGATTACTGAAGGGCTGTTTTGTTCCCTCCACCCAACCCCCTCGCCCCGCGCATACACACTCCACACCTTACAAATAGCGTTTTTAAACGGTTTTGAAGCCGGAGACTTCAGGGTTGCAGCTGCGAAAATCCAGCCCCTGGCGCATTTCCTTGGTTCAGCTGCCCCCCGGAGCTTGACTTGGGACAGAGATAAATCCTGGAAATGAGTGGCAGCCTCAGAGAGCAGCCCGCTGGCCTCTTCCACCCCCATCTCAGCCACCCCACCCCTCCCTGAGCCCCGCTCCCAGCTCCTGGCCAAGAAAACCCCGCGAGTCCCGGCTGGAATCAGCTGCTCGGGTTCCAATGCTCCCTTTAAGGGCAATCACTGCAAACGCACGAGTGTATAGACAAGCCTATATTGAACCAAGTTTGAATAGACTTCCTTTGCAGAGTTTATAGGCTAAAAGGCAGAAAGAAAGAGACGGGAGCCTGGATAAGTGTTGGGGGGGGGGGGAGCATGGGGGATGGGGTAAGTAACACGAGCAGCCCAGTACCCGACCCTGAAATAAATCAATCCTTTTGCTCAGTTTCTTCATTCCCAGATTCCTCCCAGTCTCTCATCAATTCTTGCCCCTTGGCTTTCATTGTCCTTCCCCTGCCCAAGCCCAGCTCTGCCCGAGACGGCTGGGCGGGGGGGCGGACAACGGGAGCCCCACTTGTGTCTCCTCTTCAAGCGCCTGCCGGCAGAGATGGGGTTCGAGTGGAGGCAGCCGGCTCCGGGCTTGCAGCGGGTTAGTTGACAGCCTTCCGCGTGCTCACCCTAAATGTTCGGTGATAAGGGAGAAGAAAAGAATTATTGGTTCCCACTTGCAATCTTTGAGATCTATTTTCCTTCGCGACAAAAAGTAAAAAGCCCTGCCAAGCGAAACGCTGCCGAAGTGGCCCTGGAGTAGTCCAAGCCCTTTTCCAATACCTATATTCAGCCTATGCGGACAGTCTGTATTTTATATACGCCTTCCATTCCAAAGGAAATGTCATTTGCATTTACGACCAGCATCTGCGGGCTGGAAACCGACATCCTCCTTCTGTCGATCGTTTTTATTTATTTATAGCTTTGATTTTGCAGCCCCCCCCCCCTTGAAAAGCCCAGAATACACACGGCAACGCATGCAGGTAAGAATCCACATAGATCAGACCCCCCACCAAAACCCAGAGAGGAAAACAGCGGAACGAACCCGCTTCCGACCTTGCCTTCCCAGCTGGGTTATTCTTAGTTTGAACAAGGCCCTTGACTCCAGGAGAACAGAATTAGTCGACAAGTTGAAGCATCCTTTCCAGGGACCAGTCTTACCTTGGGCTGGCTGAATAGAGTCTTCACATTCACACTCCCCTCATTTCCTACTTTTTCGTATGCTAACTCTTGCAATGATTAAGTCGTTAACACCTCTGAGGAGCCGGTTAAGGCTTCCTTATTTACAGTTTCTCTTTGTTATTTTACGTCTTTTTATTTCTCTCTGCAACTAATCTAATAGATTAATCGATAATCATTTTCTAATCTTCCGTAACCCAGCTGATGCTACCGTTAGGAAAAAAGGATATATGTATATATGTATGTTTGTATTATACATATATACACACGCTCACATACACAAAGAGACAGGAACGTTTGCAGAGCCAAAGTTGCTTTTTTTAGTTGTCTCTCCCTGAACACACACACCCCCTTTCACTCTCACCCCCAAGCCCAGCTAGGCTGGGCTGCTGCATCCTCTTAGTGTTCATTAAGGTCAGGAGAGATGGATTCTTACTGCGAGCGCCCTGGCAATACTACCAGAGTTGGGAACGGCTGCCTTACTCAGTCTTATTGCATTTTGAAAACGCAGAGCGATTAACTTTTCTTGGGAGGGTGAAAAAAAAAAAAACAAAAAACCTGAAGGGGGAAAAACTCGGATCAAGATCTCGTTGTTAACTGCGCAGCGACTCCCAGCTATATAACTGTTGGGAGAGAGAAAATGGAAGGGGGGGAGGGGGAGAAAAAGGAAGGGAAGGGGGAGAGGGGAGAGGGGAAAACACGCGCGCGCGCGCACACCCACACCCCTTTTGCTTCCAAGGTAATGAAATGAACTGCCTGTAATGTGTAATCTTTAGGTAAAAGCAGACTAATGGGCTTCCCATTGACATAGTCCCCAGCTAGCGTGAAGGAAGGCTGTGGGCTGAAATGATGCTTGCCTGCGATGATAAGTTGTGCTACTCTTGTCTCTTTGTTGACAATTCCATGAAACAACTTGAGTTTTGCATGGCTTAGCAGTGGGGCCCCTGACGTCACGGGCAGTCACGTGGCCCCGCCTCCTGCTATATCTTTAAGTGGAAAGTAATCTATCAGCCCAGTCTTTAAAACAGGACTTTCAACTAAGGGGGCTTTTGAGTCCCTGTGACACCCCCCCCTCCCCCTTCGAGTTTCCCCCCCTTCTCTCTCCTGCAACCGCTTGGACATAACCATCCCACACCCCACCGTCGCCAGCCAGCACCTCTCCTCCTCCTCCTCCTCCTCCCCCCCCCACATCCAGGGGGAGAGAGGGAGAGAGAGAAGGAGAGGGAGGAAGACAGGAAGAGAGAGAAGTAAGGGGGCAAAATCTGGAAGCCACTGAAAGCCGAGTGAAAACAAGAGAGGCCCTTCAAAAAAGAAGAGAAGAGCTGAGAAGGAGCCAGGCAAGCAGACGGAATCACCTGCAGCCGCTCGGATGAGAAGCAGCAGAAGCCGGAGAGTTTGAGCCGAAGGCAGCCGGGGAGCCACCTGCAGCCCCCTCCTCCCTTCTTCCCCCTTCCCCCTCTTTCCCCACCCTCAGCCCTCACCTCTCCTCCTCCTCCCCCTCCCCCAATTTTCCCATCTTTTGGGACTGAGAGGACCCCCCCCTCTCTTCCTCGCCCCTGCCCAGCCCAGCCCAGCCCAGCCCAGCCAGCCTCCCAACTTACCCCACGCTCACACTTCCTTCCTCCCTCCCTCCCTTCCTTCTCTCCCCACCGCCGCCGCTCCCGCCCCACCAACGCCGCGGCCGCCGCCGCCGCCGCTGAACTCCGAGAAGGTATGACCCTCTCCGGCGGCGGCAGCGCCAGCGACATGTCCGGCCAGACGGTGCTGACGGCCGAGGACGTGGATATCGATGTGGTGGGCGAAGGGGACGAAGGGCTGGAGGAGAAGGACAGCGACGACGGCTGCGGCTGCGAGAGCCCCGCGGGGCCGCCCGAGCTGCGCCTGGACGAGGCGCACGAGCAGCCGGCCCCGGCGCAGCAGCCCCAGCAGCCCCAGCAGCAGCAGCAGCAGCAGCCCCAGCAGCAGCAGCAGCCCCTGCGCCTCCCCAAGGAGGCGGCCCCGGCGGCGGGGGGGGACCCCAGCGGCGGCAGTCCGGCCGGGGCGGACGGCAAAGGCGGCGGCGGGGGCGAGGAGAGCGGCGGGGGCGGCGGGGGCGGCGGGGCGGCCGCGGGCCTGGCCCCCGGCAAGCCCAAGAACAGCCTGGTGAAGCCGCCCTACTCGTACATCGCGCTCATCACCATGGCCATCCTGCAAAGCCCGCAGAAGAAGCTGACCCTGAGCGGCATCTGCGAGTTCATCAGCAACCGCTTCCCCTACTACCGGGAGAAGTTCCCCGCCTGGCAGAACAGCATCCGCCACAACCTCTCGCTCAACGACTGCTTCGTCAAGATCCCGCGGGAGCCCGGCAACCCGGGCAAGGGCAACTACTGGACGCTGGACCCGCAGTCCGAGGACATGTTCGACAACGGCAGCTTCCTGCGGCGGAGGAAGCGCTTCAAGCGGCACCAGCAGGAGCACCTGCGCGAGCAGACGGCGCTCATGATGCAGAGCTTCGGCGCCTACGGCCTGGCCGCGGCCGCCGGCCCCTACGGCCGCCCCTACGGGCTGCCCCCGGCCGGCGCCTACCCGCACCCG